ACCGAGAAGAGAAGGTAGAAGTGTTTATTTAACATGGTGGAGTATTGATTCTAAAGAAGTGGGTTTGATTTGAAGAATGTGCGGCTGGCTGGTTGGTGGTGAGGCATTGATTTGGTGCTCCGGCACGGCGGCGGGTGGTGGTGGAGGGCGGAGAGAAATTATAGTGGGGAATTGCGGAGCAGCTGGCGGAGACAGAGAATAAGTGAGTAACAGTAGTGGGTCAAAATGGTCACGTGAAAGTGGGAAATTAACAACAAAAATAAACATAAACATATGTAGTGGTTTTTGTTTGGGTAAACGTGCGGTCTTCACAAAATCTGATTTTCTGATGTTCTAAATCGGATTATAATCAGATTTAACAAAACCAATTTTGGGTTTGGATTCAAATTAATTGGTTCGATATTCCATTTTTGTTTTGCCTTCTTTTAATATTTTTGTGACATCTTTTATTTCTTGGGTATCAAAAAAACCCCTTATATTTGGATAATTAAATCTATCTCATCGACAATAATGTTTCTTACACGTCTATCCTTGTGTTGTCAAATTCAACATAATCCTCTATATTATAAGGAATATTCTCTAGTTTGTACTCGTTTTGCGAAAAAATGCAATTTATAATGCACCGCAATCTCATATTTACAAGCCAAAAGACACATCTTATGATCATATTGCTTCAAAATGTGGAGTTCGAATGAGATAAAACGGGTACAAATTTGAGAATATTCCATATAATTTAGAAGATCCCATTAAATTTGAGGTGGCCGTGTTAGAAGATTTATAGTTGATGTGTGGTTGTAATTACCCAAACATGGGGGAGTTTTTCATAATTTTATCATACCTCAGGGGTTGGTTGTAATTTACCCTTTATTTATTAATTTGTAATAATGAAAATTGAAAAAATGGATAAAAGTAGAAAACAAAAATCAAAGGTGGTCGTTTTCGTTTCCCCTCATCACTGGATTTTGACTCAATTTTTTTCTTTATAGGGGTCTATACTCTAAATACTATAGTTTCTGTATTTAATTCAAATTTCAATTACTAATTGGCCAATTTGATTGGCTGGTGGAATCAGAATTCAGACATGTGAAGTCTGTGGTGTAGCTGATTTCAGTCCCTACATTCTTTTCTTTTTCCCAATTTCACTATTTTTTTTTTAGTACCAAAAAAACTGTTTAATTTAGTAATGCCCAATTTTGAACTTTGAAATGAAGAGAAAGGACTAAAGTAGAATTAGTAAAACATAACCAAAAAAGACTTCCTGTGAAATTCAATTAGCTCAAACATTAGATTCCCCTATAGGCATAGGCATATAATTTGAATATATTAATTATTATTGTGATTATTCATTGGGAGATGACAAATGAAGGAAAACTTCTTAGTGAAGGCAATTGAAGTGGTTGTCCTCTATTATACGGTGTTCGGTCCAGAAATCCAACTAGGTGGCGACTTCAATCGAAAACCAGCATCAAGCCACAATCACACAGAACTCAGAAAACTTTGATCTACTCCAATACTCATACCGAGTTAACTCAGCCAACGCATGCACACCAACCAGTCAAAAGGAGCACTCTCACACTCAATAAACCCTAATTTTCTCACTCGAAGACTCAATCATTAACAAAAATTCGAGATTAATTGAAAGAAGAAAACTCATGTATGAGTATAGATAAGTGTTACATTTGTCCATCTTTCTAAGGACAATATAAATAGGCACAAAACCAATAATAACAGACATCGAAGCAGCTTGTAAGTCAAAGTCAACTATGTACGGCAACGAAGACGCTTATAGTTATAATTAATCGAAATGGTGTTCTTAATCTTTTATATGAGGGAGAAAAAAAGGCAAGAAGTAGTAATTCTTATTCTACTTTTATAAATTTATTGCATCACTTTGGAATGAAGCAATTGGAAATGTGAGTAAAGTTGCTGCCTTTATTTCGGTTAAAGACTATTTCTGAAAACTACTTTTGGAAAAATGGGTCTTATCCCTTTGACAAATTTCACACTTTTAATTTCAGTATTTTTCTTTTATTTTAAAGTTTTATTAAAAAGAAAATGAAATTAAAAAAGATGACTTTTTTTTTTGGTCATGATTTTGTTTTTATAATATCATTTGGGCCTTTTCAATTTTATTGTACTGGACTGTGTGAGACAAATTTATCTCACAATTGTTTTATTACTTGGACCGGAGTGTTGGTTTATTAAATGGGCTCGCAGCTCTATCACCATCTTAGTTGATCAACATTAATTTATTTTATAGTATTCATATTATGCAAGATTATTTTTCACCCCTTAAATTTGCATCAGTTACACATTTGGTCCCCATGTTAAAAAAAACATTTAATCCTTCGTGTTTCAATAATTTAACATTTTACCGTTAGTTCGTCAGTTAAGACAATTATCGGCACAAGCGTTTCGTCAGTTAAGGCAGTCATTGGCACACATGCTTGATTCTAGGGGTGATAAACGAGTCGAGCCTACTCGTGAGCTCGACGAGCCGGCTCGTAAAAAGCTCGAACTCGGACTCGAGGTTTTCGAGCTTTCTGACGAACCGAGCTCGAGCCGGTTTTTAGTTGTTCATGAGCTCGCGAGCCTTATTTATTATTATTATTTTTTTTATATGTTATTTTTATTTAAATAATGTATAGTAATATAAAATATTATAGAAATAAATACAAATATTAAAAATATATAATTACAATTTAGCTTTTATTTTGTATTTTTTTAAAATAATTTTTAATAATAAAATAATAATTAAAAAAATATTAAAAAAAAAAAAAAAAAAAACTTGGGCTCGAGCTCGACAAAATTGACACGAGCTCGAGCTCGAGCCAAAAAAAGAGGAACTCGACGAGTTTGGGTTTGACAAAATAGACTCGAGTTAGAGCTCGAGCCAACTAAAAAAGGCGAGCTCGGCTCGTTCACACCCCTACTTGATTCCGTTAGTACTCAAGAAAGGTTGACGAGAAGTACTGAAAATGTTTGATTTTTTGAAAAATGATGCACATGAGGGGTCAAATGTGAAATTGATGCAAACTTGAGGGGTGTAGTTATCCTATTTATATTTATATATAAAATAAATATATATGGAATCATTTCCGGCATCTTTCGCCAGATACAGCGGTGGTCAACCAGTAGAGTGAGCTCACAACTGAACAGCCATGGCTACCGACTTCAAATCCATCCCTCTAATCGGTAATTTCCCAACCTTTCTCCCACAGCAATTTCTTACTATATCTTTTAATTTCCCCTTTTTTCCGCGAAATTCAAAAAAAAAAAAAAAATTGAAGAGTTTCCACTACGGTGAAGATACACACCGCTTAAAACCCTTATTGAAGATTATTTTTGTGTTTACCCTTCGAATTTCAAACAGATATCAGTGAATTGGTGGAAAAGTGCGATGATCCAAATTCGACACAGGATAAAGGCGTTGCCGAAGTAGTTCGTCAATTGGATCAGGCTTGCAGAGAAGCTGGCTTCTTTTATGTGGTAATTTATTCATTTTTTTATTATTATTAATATTTTTTATTATTGTTTATTCATACTTGTTATGAATAATGAATCAATTTGATCTGCAGAAAGGCCACGGTATTCCCGATTCCCTTGTTAAACAAATTAGAACTATATCTCGCCGTTTTTTCGATTCGCCGTACGAGGAGAAGCTCAAAATCAAGCTCTCTTCTGCATCTGGATACAGGTTTAATTTGCACTTCGCGCAATTTAGTAAAATTGAATAAATGCTGAGTTTCTTATAAGTTATATACCATTTCTCATTGCGAATGCCGTTGAATCTCAGAGGTTATCAACGAGTCGGTGAGAACATTACTAAAGGCGTGCCCGACATGCACGAAGCTATTGATGTAGGTCGAGATTCTATTACATCGTAATTAATTAACGGTGATTTAATTTTTCAATTGTTCGTTAGCCTCATCAATTGTTTATGATTTATCAGTGCTGGTTGATTGTTTTGCAGTTGGTGGTATCGAGTAAATTCAGAATGATTTAACGGATTGAATAGATATAGATGTACGACTGTGTTGCGTTTGTTCTTGTATGATTTTTTTAATTACTATTTATGCAAAACAGTGCTACAAAGAAGTAAACCCCGGAATGTATGGAGATCTCGGTAAAGCTATGGAAGGCTGCAACGTATGGTACGCTCTTCAACATGATCTTGCCAATTGAGAATCTTCGGTATCAATGCCATGTTATTTCAGCATGCCAAACAAGCAATTTCATTTATTTTTAAATTTAAACTTATGATGAAGGATGGTTTCAGTATGTCAATGATGTATACTTTCACGGCAAAATTCCAAAACTCACGTATTAGTACGCATATTATAAAGCAGGCGAGCTTCTAATTTGCCTGTTCATGTAATAATAACAGGATTCATTGACGTGAAATGAAGTTTATTTTCTGTGTGCTTACTGATTTTTTTTTATAATTTTTTTTCTCTATTTGTAGGCCGAGCGAACCTCCAAATTTTAAAAATCTAATGGAGGACTACGTCGATCGTTGCACAGGTGTTTTTCTGATAAATTTTGATGCTTGTTAAAATCTGCCCTGTATCGATCTTTAATGTATAACTAGGTATATATACATGCTTATAGAACTTTCTAGAAAGATCATGAGAGGGATAGCATTAGCACTGGGTGGACCCATAGACGCATTCGAAGGAAATAGAGCCGGAGATCCATTTTGGGTGCTTCGTGTGATCGGATATCCTGTTTTATGCCATGAAATGCCTAACCCGGAAAACGATGTCGGATGGTCTGTCTGAATTTTTTTTATTTTATTTTTTAATTTGTTTTTCACTCTTATTTTCACAATTTCTGATTTGTAATTTATTTTATGTGCTTTTCTACATGGTCGTCTCTATCGCTTTACTAAATATCCAGTGGAGCCCACACCGACTATGGTACCGTTTTTTGGTCATTAAATATCTATTTGTCGATTTTGTAAATTCATATATGATCTTTTACTATTGTTTTGCAGGTTTATTGACCTTAGTTAATCAAGATGATGATATAACCGCACTGCAGGTATTTGATCTTCCTTATTCTTGTTTACTTTGTTTATTAGATAAATTCTATTGGTCGAATATAATTCATTGGGGGCATTAATTAGTTATTCGTCACCGAATTGTTTAAGTTTTTTTATATAAATTAAATGAAGGTGAGAAACAGTAACGGTGAATGGATATCAGCTGTACCCGTTCCTGGTACATTTGTTTGCAATATCGGTGACATGCTAAAGGTATGTTCAGTAGTTTTTGCTAATCGTTTTTCCGGCAATTTCTTACATTATATTCAATCAAATCAAAATACATATTATGTATATTTGGAGAATTGCAGATTTTAACAAACGGTCTATACGAGTCGACTCTGCATCGGGTCATAAACAACTCTTCGAAATATCGTGTTTGCGTTGCCTACTTTCATGAGGTAATATATTACTCTCGATTACACCTGCTCTTTTTTTTTTTTTTTATTATGACATATAATCAATTTTATAATATATTTTCATTATATTCGATTTTTTTTTTCTTGTCGCGTGATCAGCCAAACTTTGATGCTGCTATAGAACCACTGGATAAATGTGTGGAGAAGAGTGGTGGAACAAAGAAGTTCGAAAGAGCTGTTTACGGAAAGCATTTGGTCAGTAAAGTGTTGACCAATTTCGTAATTTAATTTCATAATTAATAATGGTGATTTCCTTTTCTTCACTTCAATAAATTGTGCATTTGCAAAGTGGTTTATTATAACTTTATATGATTATATATCCTGACTTTTCGGAATGTAAATTTTCAGCAACTCCTATATTTATTTTCTTTTCCTTTCCTTTTTTTTAAAATTTCTTATCCACTAAAAAATACACTTGTATTCAATTCTCAGTTAGCTTTTCATAATCCTTTTCGAAATCAAACAATTGCTTCAAACAATCAATTATTAAAAACTTTGTGTATATGTGTCCCCAAATGCATAGTTAAATTTTAATCGTCGAACATCAGAGATGCTCGTGTGTAATGAATGTACTATAATATTCGCATAATCTGCGAGTATAGAACAACGTTTAACTCGTATGGGTCTCAGGCGTTTTTTATTTGATGTTATAGGGGGTCGTTTTCTGATTTATATAATACGAGTTTTTTTTTTTTTTTTTTTTTTGGTAATTAGACGAATTCAAAATAACCCATACTATCTGAAAGACATATTTTCGATCATTAATTGAATTTAGGTTAACTTGTATTTTCTTTTTTATGGGTAGGTCAAGTTGTATTGGTCGGGTCAATTTAGTGTCCTTTTATTGCATGTAATGTAATAAGAGCTGTGAATTTAAAGCACATTATTCTGAAGTAATGGGCTTCAACATGGCAATTATTATTTATTATTGTGCGGGGTGGGGTATATAGTGTTTGTGGTTATTGTTCTACAGTGGACTTTTGTGGGCCCATCTCGCTATTTGTATTAATCCAATAATATCTTACAATTGATTTGGCTTGAGTTCGATCTCAAGCGAGCCGAGGTTGTCGAGTTTGAGCCTGAACTATTTTGCCCAATTTTTTTATATAAGAACTATTAGAATTTTTTATTATAAATTATAATAAAAATATTTACAATAAAAGAATGACCTATAATTTAATTTTTTTTAATTATTATTTATGTTATATTAATTATATTAAAAATTAAAAAAATAATAAAGAAAAAGTTTGCAAGCTCATTAATAAAAAAGAATGAGCTCAAGCTAAAAAAAATCGTATTTGAGATCGAGCTTTTGTAGGGTCGGCTTAAACCCAAAATTAGATGTAGATCAATCATTATTGATGACGCACACATTTCTAAACGACAAATATGTAATTAGCATATCATTCTTAATAAATATATAATAATAATAATAATAATAATAATAATAATAATAATAATAATAATAATAATAATAATAATAATAATAATAATAATAATAATTATTATTATAGTAATAATAATAATTATTATTATTATAATAAAAAAATAAAAAAAATAGATGTTCCCGCGCTAATTATTACATGAAACGAAATGATTGTTGATTAATCTTCAGTTCAATTGTACAACTGCCCGGTCCCGTATTGATTCTATACAACCAGCTTTGCTCTAATTAAATGAGACTTCAAACAATTATTCAAATAATTCCCTGAAAATTATATATATTACATTTATATATGACAGTAATTGATTATTATTATTATTATTAATAATTAATTGCACCACCCACCACCAGCTAGCCAGGGACCCCCGGCCTCTGCAGAGCAGCGTAAGTGCGCGGCGCCGCCCCCAGTTTCCGGCCCAAACCCGGCTCCGACACCGGCTCATCGGAGTAGTCAATTTTACACGGCACGATATTCATCGACTCTCGATTCGGGCAATACTGCTGCTTCAAAAAGAAAGCTTCACACTCCGCCGCACTCCTCTGCGACGGTAGATCGAGAACGCAGTTGACTCGGATATCCAATTTCCCGCTCTTTATCAGCTTCCGGCACGCGGGCCCCACCTGCGTGAAGTAATTGTGGTTCAGCGTGAGCTCATCCAGATCCCTCAGCCGGCACAGACTCTCCGGCACCTCGCCGGAGAGATGGTTGTACGACACGTTCAGATACCTCAGCTTCTCCATGCACCCGAACGAATGGGGTATCGGGCCGGTCAGCCGGTTCGCGCTGGCGTCGAAGAGCGTTGACTTTTTCAGCTTCCCGATCTCGTACGGGAGGCAGCCGGAGAGCTGGTTGTTCAGGAGGAGGGATTCGATCAGCGTGTTCGCGGCGTCGCCGATGGAGTGCGGGATGGTGCCGGTGAACTTGTTGTTCGCTAGTGTGAGGTACAGGACCGGGGTTTTGCCGAGGGTTTCGGGGATGTTTCCGGTGAACTGGTTGTTGTTCAGGAAGAGTACGTCGAGGTCGAGGGTGAACACCGCCGGCGGGAGTTTTCCGGTGAGTTGGTTGAACCTGAGGTCGAGGAATGTGAGATTTGTGGCGGCGAGGACTGGCTTGGGGAATTCTCCGGCGAGTTTGTTGTTGCTGAGGTCGAGCTCGTAGAGGGTGGGGAGTTTGGATATTCCGGCGGGGACTTGGCCGGCGAAGTTGTTGGTGTTGACGTGGAAGACGATGAGGTCGGTGAGTCCGTCGATGAAGTTGGTGAGGGCGAGTGGGTTGCCGCTGAAGTTGAAGCCGTTGAAGTTGACCAGGGCGACTCTGACTTTTCCGTCGGAGATGGTGGTGTCGCAGGTGAAACCCCTGTAGGCGGATTTGTCGGCGCATATTCTTCCTTTCCAGGTTTTCGTTACCCCCAGCGGGTCTTTCGTTATTGTTTGTCTGAATTTTTCGATTACTTTCACTGCCACCAGGAGCTCCGGTGTGAGAGGGGGGAATGTTGGCGGCGGCGGCGGAGGGTATTTCTTTGGTGGTGGAGGCGGAGGTGACGGCGGCGGTGGTGAGGGTGGCGGTGGAGGATGACGCTTTGGTGGTGGAGGCGGTGGGGGTGAGGGTGGCGGTGGTGGTGGAGGACATTTTGGTGGCGGCGGTGGTGGTGGTGGAACGGGTTCCGGGCAAACAGGGAGTTCCGGTGGGGGAGAACAATCAGGGCAATCTCCGTAATCAGGTGGGCTGTAGGGAGAAGGAGCTTCTCCACCAATTATAATTTCGATATTACCCTCCACGCCATTACTTTGGTACACTATTGAATATGAGATTAATAATAACAATATTGAGACAATAAAATTTGCCATTTTCAAAATGGCAAAATTTGTTAGTGGGGATGAAATTTTATATACTAGTGGGCAAAGTTATATGTTTCCCCACACTTTTGGATTTGTACTATAACATAATGGAGATACATCACTTTATATTATTATTTATTTTAATATTTACAATTTCTTTAATTTTAATATTTACAAATTTATCTATCAATATAACCGTCGTGCAAGGAATCACCTAGCAGTTGAAGGAAGTGAGCGCGTGTCAATTTACTCAGGTTTGAATATCCTTGTCAACGACTGCTATGTCAAGTTTGTCACACATGGTTAGCCCATTATAATTTACGTCTCTCGTATGATTTGCAAGCTATTATACATGAGTGTAGATTTACCGATTGCAAACATAATTAAACATAGCCTATTATCCACATAATTAATGAGTTGCATGAATTTTTAAGGTGGACTATTAGTAAACTTGTTGACCGAAAAATTGACTACAAAGTTACAGTAAACTAGTTGACTGAAAAATGGACTATAAAGTTGTTAAATTGAAATATTAAATGATGATTATGAGAAATTATGTGTCATCTAAAATTTAATTTTGGGATAAAATTGGGAACCAATAAATATTATTAGGGTGTCAAGTTGCAGGGGTTTTGGTGAGGTGTATTAAGACTCATAAATTGCATGTGGGGATGCATTACTGTACAATACTTAATGCATAAGGTCCAACTCCATCTTCTTTTTATTTTCTAGACCTGTCGGTGAGTGAGTCCTTTAACTATGAAAAATTTCATTCAAACCAAAATTAATAAACTCAATTAATCAAAAGATAATAAATATTATTTCAAATTAATCGCCAATTTGTTTTTTTTTTTTTTTGAACGCACTTAAACGACAGTAATTATGCAAATGATGGAATATAAATTATAATATTATTATTACATATGCAAATACATCATTGGGTTACGTAATGCAACTTTAGTTTTTCTTTTTCGTTGTCGGCAGATGTGATCTCTTGCTTTGAATTTTCTAATAAGGATTTTTTTTTTATTGTTAATTTCGAATAATTTGATAAAAATATTTATATAAAAACAAATAACTTCATACAAAGAATTAACAAGTTGATGGTCCGAATATTTAAATCAACTATTACAAGTTGATCCATGTTTATGAAGCCCAAATTCTACCTAATCCCAATTAGCCAAAACCCAAAGTATGTGTTCGGGTGGTACATTAGAAGAAAGGGTAAGTGCAGCCTCGGAGGTTATGTCAAATTACGAAAAACCCTCTCATATTTGGGTAATTACAATCACGTCTTTAACTATAAATCTTATCTTCTTACATGTTCACCATTTAGGTGTCAAATTCAACATAATTTTCTAGATTTTGTAGAATGTTTTTCTAGTTTGTACTCATCTTGCTGAAAAAAGTCAGTTTCAGATACATCATAATCTTCTTACATTTCATGGATATTCTATGAATCTTCTTTCACGTCAACCCTTATGGTGTCAAATTCAACATAATCTTCTACATTTCATGGAATATACACTAGTTTGTACTCGTTTTGTGCAAAAATGCAACTTCTAGTGCACCACAATCTGATATTTACAAGCCAAAAGACACATCTTATGATCATATTGTTTCAAATGTGGAGTTCGAATAGGATAAAATTGGTACAAACTGGAGAATATTACACATAATCTAGAAGATTCCATTAAATTTCACACCGCAATGGTGAACGTGTAAGAAGATTCGAGGGATGATTGTAATTAACCAAACATAAGGGGGTTTTTTATAATTTGACCCCACTCAGGGTTGCCGAAATTTACCATAGAAGAAAATAATTTTTTTTTTAATTGTAACTAATAAAAGAGATTTTGTTTTTCAATTTTAAATGCCTTGTCAATAATTACATTATTATAATAGGCCAATTATTCTCCTTTTTTTTTTCTTTTGAAGTACGACCCTACATTCTTCACATGAGGCTAAGAACTAAAATAGGTGGGCGAAACGTCTTTCCAAAAATTGGGCCTCACTGAAAAATTGTAAAAGACAAAAATATTTCTCTCTTATTATCAATCACTTTTATTTTTATGATTAAAAATAAAAGTAAAAATAAAAGTAAAATTAAAATAAATAAATAAGTAGCCCTTATCTTCAATTTTGAGTGGCTGAATAAAATACCCCTTCAAGCGCTTCATCTCTCTACCAAACAACAAGTCCTGCCAAATGGACTAGAGAAAGAATGCCAATTTAATAATACAATGTATTACATGCGAGTGCGATTTAAAGTAAGAATACTTAAAAGAATCTAAAGAGAAGAAAAAAAACAAAAAAAGTTGAAATATTTTCTTAAAAGAAATAGGAACCAAGATTCCAAAATTATTGGCAAGTGTTCAAAGTTAAGGTAATAGTTTCATACAAAAATTCCCCTTTGTCGGCTTTTTGAGACATTACATATGGTGAACTTCACTATACAATGTATCTCGGTAAATCTACACACAATCACACTTATTAACCATTATAAACCCCACCGAGAAGCATGTGTAATGAACTTTGAAGTATTAATTTGATCGACTAATTTAGGTGGAGTTGAGCTGGAACATCAGTCCACGTAAGCTAAGGAGAGTGATCGGGGAGGAAGAAATCCGATAATACGGAGATTTCTTGTAATCTTGTGATTCTTTGCAATCTCCGTAAACCACCGGTTGTATTGCCACTAATAATGAGTTGTTCTCTCCCGTGGATGTAGACCATTCTTCAAGGCTATTTTTCTTATTTCATGCATTCATCTTCAGTTTTAGGATTTTCCGTGCATGGTCATATTTGATCTAAATTGCTTGGTGAAATCTTCGGTTGGATTTGGTAGACTGTACGACAAACTCGATCTAGCTAACAAGTATTGGCAATAGAAATCGAACTTTCAAATAGTTAAACATCTTATTCTCTTCACTCTACAAATTTAGGTGATTAGTAAGTATTTAGTTTGCAGTTCTAACAACTTTTTTTTTTTAAGTCACATTCTACTATGAAGGCATTTCTTATGATAAGTAAAGACCGGCCCAAGTTATTATAATGATAAAGTCTTGGACCCTTTGTTACATTTTCTTCTAAATTTGGGCCAAAGCCCAAAAGTAAGAAAGTGATGAAAATAACATGTAACTAACTTTTATTACTTGCAAAATTGGGTTCGTTGTTTGTATTATCTTTTTTCTTTTTTCTTGAACTATATATATTCTAAAATTTGTAATTTTAGATTAATGTTAACAATTATTTTATCAAATATAGAATATGTTTTCCTTTTCTACATAAAATGTTATTGAAATTATCGATTTTTAAATAATCATCAAACACTTTCAAAGATAAACTCTGAAACATCTTATAAACTTTTATTAATAGATTATAACTTATAAGCTTAGCCAGTCATCTTCTAAATTAAAAGTTTGGATGGCATTTAGAATTTAAGAGTAAAAAAAAAAGGGTCAATTATCCAATAAAATAGAATTAATTAATACTTACGTGTTCGACTAGTCTATTTATTAAGAGTCCAACCAAATTTGTCAACATTCGCACACTATGACAGCAATTGTTGAGCAGAACAAATTAAATTGAATTAAATTAAATTAAATAACTGGCAAAGAGTAACGTAGGGTCTTCCTTGTGAGCTATGACTTATCAATCAAACCAGCTGCATATCTTTGACTTTTGCTATTTTCTTTCTCCACATAAAAAAAATAAAAAAAAATAATATTTATTTTATTCGCCAAAAATTCCAAAAACAAACCAACAAAATTAATAATAGTATACTATTGCATTGAAATAGCATACACAAATATAAATATATATATGTATATATCTAACTTTGTAGTAGTAAATATTAAATAAGCCGTCCTCTCCAACTGCCACTTTTAATTTTATTGGTCAACCGTCCTAAGTTTTCATCATTTATTTTGACAATCTCCTTTTCCTTTATTCCTCTTTAATAGGTCACTCCTACTTTTTTTTTTTTTTTTTCAAGTTTTATTTAATATAAACAAAAGAAAATGAAACAAACTTGCTTAGAGCATCTCCCACCCATCACCAAATCCCATATTTATTACCTAATTTAGGTGTTTTTAGTCTCCCAACCTAAATCTCTAAATCACCATTACATCTAAAATTATAGTGATTTAGTTTAGTCTCCCACCCTGCTCAAACTCTATATCACTATATCCCTAAATCCTATATTTCACCAAATTTTTTGGTGAATAAATTTTCATATCACACCCATCCACCATTTTACCATTTTTTTTCCACCAAATCCTATTTTTTCTATCAAATATAGAAGTGAAAATAGGATTTGGTGTAATTAACACCATTTTATAATTAGCATATAAAATTATTATATTAACTAATTTCATGTGATTACCAACTTATAAATATGTTTATAGTAAATATATTAGTGTTAATTAGTGAATTGATTTTCAAACAAGGTTTTAACGAGGCCATTGTTATCAATGAAATATTTTTTTGGCCAAAAAAAAATGTTGTAATGGCTTTATGATTAATTTATGTTGTAATGTGTTTATGACTAATTTATGTTGTAAGGTTTTTAGGCAATGGTTAATGAAATTATTGCTTATTTGTAGTTTTATTGTATGTATAATAATATAAATTGGTTTTTCATTCATGTTTCAATAAATTTTTGATATTTACTATAATTTTTAAATTATATACTTAATAAAATCATTGTTTAAGATCAAATTCATATCAATATTTTGGTAGTAAAATAGACTAAATTTACAATTAACATTAAACTTAAAATTTTGTTATATATTTGGTGAAATGTCATGGGAGACCAAACCAAATCTTATTCTCTATAACTGGTAAAATGGTGAAATATTAATATTTTATTATTTGGTGTAAAATTTGATAGAATTGGTGGGAGACCAATTACACTATTTTGTCACTAAAAATAGATAAATTATAGAATGGTGTGCTACGGGTGGGAGATAACACCATTTTTTCACCACCAAAAATAGAATTTGGTGAAAAAATGGTGTTAAGGGTGGGAGATGCTCTTACGTTGCCTCGTTCCCATTCTTATATTTATTTTATTAAAATAAATTAACATTTAGTGGAATAATATACTCACAAATTTATAGAAGCTCGAGACATACTCCATTTATTTCTAAAGAATAGTCGTTTTTCAGTTTTGATGATATGATAAGAGAGCGTTGATAGTTGGAAGATGAATTGATACGAAAAACACATTTAATACAGTGTGAGAAGTTTAAAGCCACGAATAATATGAATCAAAATCAACTAACTTAAATAATTATCAATACATTATAGCAAATCTATAGAGATTTGTGCGTATGCAAATCCCAAAATAATTAAGTAATGAGGAATCAAAGAGACAGAGATCTAAAAGCAAAAGCAAGAAAGAAAATGTAATAAAGAAAAAAGAAATATTACAAAAATAAGCCCAACTCATCTACTCCACCATGCCCTTTTCTTTTTGCCATATATCATATTTTTTATATATATATAAATATACTAACACAATTTAATTCCAAAATTCACACTGATTTAGACATAATTTAACAAAAAAGAAAATAAAAAATAAAAATAACATCTCATAAATCAACGCAAACTAACTAAAATCTCCTTCGAGATTATTAGATGCTCTTAACCAAATTAGTATTTTATATCTAGTATATATATATATATATATATAACTAGGAAGATTCTAGAATCATGGTAGTGGGGGTATCAGCTAATACAGAGAGGGAGTGATTGTGGTCGCCCTCATAGGTAACAATAAGCATAGTCGGATTATCCACGGCCCGCTCCACGTGTTTTCGGGCCGGGCACCCTCTCACACTACTGCATTTGTAATAACCCCTGTTTTGAGTTCCCAAATATTAATTAGGGTTTGTTTAATTTTGTTGTTAATCAAAAAATGTAGATAATTAATTTACCTAGGGTGCGGTGAACCTTTGATCGGCTTCTGTCCGTACTTTCTCCACGAGTAATCGTCCGGGGGTATATCCGACATTTTCATGCTTATCGCCGGCACCATTATTACTCTCTTCAGTCTCAATTTCCTTTTATTTTATTTAAATTAAATTAAATTAATATTAATACTTTAATTCTAATTATATATATATATTAATTGTTTGAAGAAGTATTAATTAATTGAATTTGTACCTTCTCTTGGTACAGTGGCAGCGGCTGGAGGATCCGCTGCACTGGCCGGAGAAGGCGTTTTCCGACGAAGTGCACTTCCTCTTGAAGGAGGAGGAAGAGGATAGTGGCGGCTTTGCGGCGGAGTTGTTATTATTATTACTACTGCTGATGATCTGAAAAGCCGACGAAGAAGACGGATGTACCTGTAGCTGTAGCTTGTTTTCCGAATCGGCGCCGGTCAGGGAGGAAACAAACGAGTTGACTCGGGAAATCGCCGGCGAGTAGGAGAAGCTAATTGTTTTGGAGCTGGAATATTCCTTGTTGTTGAGATGGTAATCCGGAGGTGGGATTTGCTGAATTGGAGTTGGGCAGTAGATTTTAGTGTTACTATTACGGTAGCCGTGAGTTTCTGGTTCGTCGGAGTTAGGTGAAGAGGAAGAAGAAGCCGGCGGAGACGTTGCAGCAGCAGCAGCAGATACAGGGGCTCTCCTGAACCGGGCGTGGCCGGTTCGGGCCGGTCCGAGGAGAGAGATCGCTCTCTTGAACTTGCTCACCGCGGCGTCGGCCACCGCCGCGTAATCCGTCTCCGCCGCCTCAACGGTTTGGTGGTGGGAGGAGGTGGAAGAAGAAGAAGAGAACAATCTGATGAGCTTCTCGACACTCTGGAGGCCAGAAGAAGCTTCTGCGGCGGCGGCTTTTTCTTCCGACGACGACTGTGAAACAAAGCTGCTGTTTCTGTAGTTCATCATCAGCTCCACGGCCATGGCCGCCGCCGGAGTTTATATTTATTATTAATTAATTTATTTATTTATTGGAAAAATTAAAAGGAGAAAGGAGTAAGGGAAGATGGAGAGTGGTGATATATAATATAATGAAATTAAAATGGTGGTGAAGCCATTGGAGAAGAGGAGAGAGAAAGAGAAAAGTGGTAAACAGTTAGGTCACTGACCGGTCACTTTAATCTTAACGTCTCTCTGCCTCCTCATTTTTAGGTGCAATTAACCTTTCGAAATTACAAAAAGACCCCTTATGTTTACATAATTACAATTATTCCTACTAAACTAATTTAATGGAATCTTCTGGATTATGTGGAATATTTTCCAATTTGTAGCCGTTTTATCCCATTCGAGTTCCACATTTTTAAACAAGATGATCGTAAATTTAAAGATGTGTCACTTGACTCGTAAATATCAGATTCTGGTGAATTATAAACTGCATTTTTGCACAAAACGAGTACAAACTATTTCACGGAATCTGGAAGATTTATATTGAATTTGACACTTTGATTGGAATGTGTAAGAAGATTCATAGTGATGGATGGAGGGTGATTGGAATTATGCAAAAAAGAGGGGGAGTTTTGTAATTTGATATTACCTCTAGGGATTAAAATATAAGATGGGGTTTGTCACAATTTTACCTATGTTGTCCTTTCAAAGATTAATATGCGGTGGGGAAGGAAGAAAGTCTATGAATCAGTTTGACCTTTTGTGGTGTTGGGTGGGGGGCCCTACTTGTATTGCTCATGTAAAACCAAACACTGCAAATGCAATAGGGCTAAAAGAGTTGGGGGCATTTCAAATTTCAGAGAAGATGAGGTCAAAGATGTGGGCCCCACTTCTTCCTTCATATTTGATCCCAATGTTTATAAACAATACATTTAGTCCCTCAAAATTTAAAAATTCAACACTTTTAGTCCTTTTTGTTAATTTCTCGTTCAAGTTAAAGGAATCAAGCATGTGTCCATCACTAACGTATCTGACGAACTAGCGGCAAATAACGAAAATGACCAAAAATGTCAAATTATTAAAACATAAGGGACCAAATGTATTTTTTTTGTGAACATGGAGGACCAAATATAAAATTATTGCAAACTTCATAGATGAAAACAGTAAATTTCTCATTAATAATTCGCAGTTGTATGGTCAAATGTTTTTTTGTAAATTTAAAATCTGATTAATTAATAATCTCGCTCCTGATTGATCGATCACAACTTAGCGACATTACTGTAAACAAAATTCAATATTTTTGTAAAATAATATATTTATAAGAATCCATATAGGTCCCATTAAATGTATTCATATTTATTAAATAAATAATTGGTTCAGATAATATATATTTCCAAAATAATAAACTAAATAATTGACAAAAAAGTCCAATTATCATACATTATATATCATGGGCTACAATTTTGTTTTTCCAAATTAGCATGAGAAGAAACTCCATGACACGTAATCACTTTGGAAAAGTCCGACCATTAGTCAACAAAAGTAACGTAATTCACTTTGCTTTGTCAAAATTCAATTTCTGGCCCAGCTTCGACATTGTGCTGTTGAATAATTGTTGGAATAAAACAAGATTCCTAATTACACTTTACCCACTAATCCAAAAACTTTAATTGCTAATTATTTTATTATATTTTTTTATAATTGACTTTATTGACTTGCAAGCTTTGTAATATTCGATCTTGACGATGATGTTTTGTCTTATAAAATATTGGATATGTATTACAGCTATTAAGATTTAAAGCCCATCTTACGCTACAATCTCATTGGGCTATATATATATATATATATATATATATATATATATATATATATTTCTACCCCGACCAGT